GTCAGCTAAAGTTTTGAAAAGGTTAAACAATGTTAACTACTAGGTAGAGATGTTGGATGACTCAAAACAAGTTGAAACCTTTCATGTAGAAAAGATGAAAAAGTTTTATGGAGTTGTTTAAATTTTTTTAAGGGGAGGGGTGTGTAACAGTTTCCCTGTTACTTATGTACCAGAAATCCTCTTAGAGCAACATTGTCACTACTCACCTGAACATTAGGGGGTGCTCTGTTAAAGTAATGCATGAATTTACCTATTTAAGGTAGCAAAGAAGGAGTAATGGCAGGAAAAAATTTGAACGCTGGCAACGCCAAAACGCCTCTGCAGTGAGACTTAGATCAAAACTAGTTTCTACGAGGACTGACTAACGAGGAATCAGATACACACAAAACAGTAGCAATGGTAGCGAGCGCAGCAGACACTTGCAATCTGGTCAGTGCTCTTTCTCGGATGGCAGTAACAAATGTAGATTTGGCCAGATGTTTCAGGTGGGGCTTGTTAACTTTTTCTGAAAGCCTTGTCAGTGATTTATCATCCAAACCAAATGCATAGTAGCACCTTGTGAGGAAAAGCACGACTATGCCTACATCACATGCTGCTGATAGGCCAGGCACAGGGATAACTGCTACACCAGCAGAGGCAAGAGATGCAGCCCAGATCATCCGTTTAAACATATTGATCTTCTTCTCAAGAGATGCAGCAGAACACACTGGCCAGGCTTGTAGAAGAGCATACTTCTTGTGTTCTGGAAGCTCATCTTCAAGAATGTTTTGAAGTGATTCAAAATCATATTTCTCCAAATCAAAAGACGATATCAAGAAAACTTTGGGGTCTCCCAGTTTTTTCAGGTTTTTCTGACAATCCTCTCTTATTATGGAAAGAACTTTCTGCTCATCAAATCCTTTTTTCTTTTTTTCTGAAAACATGTCTTGGTCAATCTTGGAACGAACAAAGTAAAAGCTTTTCTTCCGTTTTCTTATTTCTTTAGCCAGCATGATGTCATTCTCCATGAACCTCTCTGAGTTAAGGATAATGAAGAAATCATAGGTGTTAAAATTGACATCTTTCAGGTATTTTTTTGCTTTGAAGTTTGGGCTTCCTATTCCAGGCAGGTCCCAGATCTTCACATTTGGCATTACAGGATGTTCATACATGGTGGCCACCATTGTAGTTTCTGTGACTCCAGTAGGTGCTGCTCCAACATCTTCATCTTTTAGACCTCTAAGTGCATTTACAAAGGAGGATTTTCCTGATCCTGTCTTTCCAGTCACAGCGATGTTAAGTGAGACATTAACAAACTGATCAAATTTTATTTTAGCTTTTGCTGTAGCCTTTTCCAGAGTGGACTCGCCCGATCCCTTTATTGCATCAACAACAGCAGGGTCTTGATTTTCCATGTTCTGAATGGCAAATTAAACATTAATGAATGCTCAGAATTAGAGACACAATACTTATCTAAATAATGTAATTGAATAATGTAACTGACAACATATGATTCTAATTACCTGAATTTCTTGGTTCCAGGAGGAGTACTGAAACCTGTGTAAACACAAAAATGGAATATTATGCCAATGTGAAACAGTTGTGCTGTCGACACTGAACAACAATCATAACCCCAGAGTCAACAGACAATCAGAGAGATCAAAAGTAGATTGCTTTTACATTTATTGTAGTATTATTGAAATATATTTATATTTAATAATTAAATTCAAATGAGATGTGAATATATTTGAATATAATTAGCAATGTGTGAAACTGTCATTCCCAATATTGATATTCAATCTACCTCAAACTATTTTGAAACTTGCAGTGAATTTCTGTAAACCGTGTGCTGTAAAATTCCAAATGTAACTAGATTAAAAAAAAATGTGTCAAAACAAACTTTGATGTTGGATTTAGAAAGCATAGCCAGAAAGTTGCAAGCAATTTGAAAAGCCTGAAGATTTGAATAGACTAATGCTGCCTTCACATGCTATCGGAAATATAGTAAATACAAGTTTCTGGTTCTGCACAGTTACTTTCTGGTTTTAAATAAGCCATCTCAGTCATTTCCAGTCAACTGTCAAAATCAGCTGTGCTGTAAGGGGAGCACCCTTTGATCGGTTTCTCTACATAATCCATTCATAATTTTAAGAAGTTTTGTTTGTCTAAGAGGACCACACGTTCACATTTACAGTTTCAGGAATGACAAACGTGAGTGTAAAAGATGTAAAGCGAGTGAATCTGTTCAATTGTTTCACGCGTCATCCCTCACGAAAATTAACCATGGTTTCATTGTAGTAAAAGTGTAGTTACCATGGATTTTGGCATATTGATTACCATTTGTATATCCACAGTTTCTGTGAGGGTCTCAAGAGTCTCTACCTATATATGCCACAACATTAAATGACGTTTCTTATCTTTAAATGCACAGTGTTCTTTAGAACTTCCGCTTAGTCAACTCAGATACAGTCTATCAGTGTAGGTCTATTGTCAGGATACAGTGAGTACTATTGATTCTAAACTAGCGGTGTGCCTACTAATATTCAGTTGATTGCCTTATTCAGTTGAACGAGCCTGCAATCAGATTGGATTCTTTTTTCTAACAGTGTATACCAGGCATAAAGTACCATAACTAATTAATTTCAAACACTGAAATGTCTTAAAACAATTATTTAACCCTTTGAGCGGTACGGTCCCACGTATGGGATTTAGAACGTTCGGTGATACTGCCAAATTCAAACTGTGCTTTCGCGCTTTGGCTGACGCTGAGCCAGAGAGAGACGTGCACTGCTCGTCATATATTGTCACAACTATGCAGTGTTCTTAACCACATAATGCATATATTAGGCTTCAGACATTTAAATACACATAAGTACTAGTAAATCGATACATTTAGAGTTTGAAAAATACACACATATGTCTATGGAAGCAACGATAACAATCCATTCAAATTTAATTTGCAGATGTGTTTTATTCATATCAGATACACAGTGTAAATAACTATAAAGTTCACTCTATTCTTCACCCAGTTCACCGGCCACTTACCGTATTGGCCCGAATATAAGACGACCCTGATTATAAGACGACCCCCCTTTTTCCAGATGTACCTTTTGGAAAAAGGCTTTTTAAAAACCAAATCTTGTTTTTTCTCAGTAAAACACATTTTGTCTTCAATTATTTTCATATTGCATATTTTTCCTATTTTAATTTTTGTTTTGAAAGTATGGTAAAAACTGGTAAAATGTACCAACAATCACATTTAAAAAGATACACTTTTTGATATATCATTAAAAAATAAAAAAAATAAAAAACAGGTAGCCCATCTGAATTAGGACATTTAGGCTATCCATCTAATAGTAGCCTACCAAAATCTTATTAACAGTAGAAGTTAAATCTTACTGTAGTCTTCAAATCTGGGTACTGTCTTACGTTTTAAAATCACAAAGAGAGTTTGGTCCCATCAGACTAACGTGACAGTCACGACTCATGCAGCTGTAAGGTTTTCTCTTTCTTTTGTTTTTACTCGCGATCTTTACAACACGCATTACATTACGTATTTCATGGCACACTCGTTTTATGCGTATTTGGCGCCACCTATTGTTGTGGGTGTATTATTGACATGTCAAAGTCTAGACCCTGAATATAAGACGACCGCGTTTTTTTTCAGATGTATTTCCAAGAAAAAAACATCGTCTTATATTCGGGTCAATACGGTACTACTTGTATTTAGGGGAGAAATTGGTGAATTCACGTGCTGTAAATCAGACTGACAGGACTCTCTGAACTGCAACAAACATGGCGGCGCCCATCTCACATTATAGATCACGATCAAGATCATTTAGAAAGGTTTTTGAACACACTCATTTACACATATTTTGAATCGGAATATCAGATTGTTCATGACAGGGTATGCAAGTTTGTGAATATTTTAAATAAAAAAGGAAAAACAAAATAAAAGCGATCCATCTGTCATACAGTGTTATTGTGGCCGCGGTGTGTCGCCATGGAAACAGTAAGGGGAAACGTTCTAAAATAATGGTCACCTTAAAAAAACTCATTCTGGGGGGACCGCTAGAATATTTTAAACTCACCACTGAAAAGGTTAAGCTCTTAATTTTATTCCTGTTCTTCCTTATGCGCAACTGATAGTTTGCTTAAAAATTCAAAACCAGAACATTTTAGAGTTAAATAACCCACAGTTCACACTAAACAATAAGAGTTAATAGTTCTAATAATAGTTTTCCCTTAAAACTAAGAATAGCTAAAGTAGTTAATCTCAAAATTAAGAATAATTTATTTAAAAAAAAAAAAAACAGAAACTGTAAAAAAGTAAAAACCAGTTCATCTGTACAATCGTAAAAACTAAACAACTAACTTTCACTGACTACAGTAACTCATTCACATTAGAGCCCTGCCTCAAATATAGGCCCTGGCCCGGCCCGGGTCCGACAGCTCATCAGAATTTTTGGCCCGAGTCCAACCCGAGCCCGTCTTTTTTTCCCCACCTTCTCCCAAAACAGCTTATACTACTGTTTCAGCTATTAAAATAGTTCAGTTTTGTATATAATGTCAAAGTGATTATATTCCGTTTCGTTTTTTATTGCCTTAATTTAGAAAAACTTTTGGAGCATTTTTTTGTTCGTTAAATGTAAGTTTTTGTTTTTTTAAAGTAACGATCAAGCAGCCAGCAACAGACAGCGAGTTGATCATAGCCTTGATCAATTTAGCCTTCTCAAATCATCACGACTTGCCTAAAATAAAACCTAGATATACAACAGTTCAAGCATATGAACTGGCGCCGGCGCGATCACTTGCAGTGGAAACAACTTAAAATATGCCGTAATTATTGCTAAGCATATCACAATGTTAGTTTAAATGTTTAACCTATATAAATGTGCGCTATTAGACGCATATCTAATTGTTTGTGCGGAGAGCAAGCGCGCTTCACAGGACATGGAGGCGCCGGCGCGATCACTTGCATTGGAAACAA